GAGAGAGAGAGAGAGAGAGAGAGAGAGAGAGAGAGAGAGAGAGAGAGAGGGAGAGAGAGGAACAGATCAGCGTTTATTAGAAGACTTATTACACTGCTTTAGATCACAGGGCAAGTAGAAGGGAATCACATTGTGTGTGATTGTTTGTGATTGTTAGTGTGATCTTGTGTGTGATTTGTGTGATTTATATGCGACATGCGTGTGCGCGTACGAGTAAGAGCGTGCGAGTAATGGAGTAAGTCAGTGTTTGTGTATGTATGAGCGCGGGTGTATACCCCGTAGTACGGAGCAGCATAAGATCTGCTTTGTATTATATAAGCGAGGCAACTATATGTAGTATATATAATACAGTTCTTTCGTGTAAAACACTGCCTACTCCGTGTTCAGCTAATGGTGCTGTGAGACGCTGCAACTCTGCTATTTGCATGATTCTTGGCCTGGTATGTCGTTACTCGCCCCGGGCGTTTATTCTCAAACGCTCTCTCTTTCTCCTTCACCCTCATTTCTCCTCTCTTCTCCTCTTATTCTTCTCCCATTCTCTTTAAACCTTCAGCGATTCTCTCTTTTCCCTTGTTTTCATTGCTCCTCGCTCCTGCTTGTTTTTTGTTCTGTACTTTATTATGATTTCCTCTCAGTCACACTCATTCCTTCTCTACTTTATTTCCCATTAGGTCGCTTTCACTCTCTTTTGTGCACCTCTCTGATCTTAGTCCCACAAAGACAGAACATGTACGTGGTCACCGTGAACTTCTCCCCAAGTTTCTCCCGTCCCCACATTAAACTGTCTTCTCCTTCCTGCAACCCACAAACCATCAGCCTGAGATCCCCTGTACGTGTAATTACATGACGTACCTGTGGAAAGCGTGGCTGTATAAGAGCGGTTATCAGCAGCTGCAGTGTTATACCCGTGCTCACACGCAGTTTTAGGTATGAAGTTGTGCAGGCTGGTACCTGGTGTGACTGGTGCGTGGTGTCTTCTTTAGAACACTCTGTGGAGCAGGTCCGGGGGGTATGTAGTGTGCACTGGATGGAAGGAGCATGTTGGTGTATGTGGAGCTGCAGGGTCGGCTGGGCTATTTATGAAATAGAAAGCAAAATGTCATCTTATCACTCGATTTATTAATTCTTGACAGATTAATTCTGAAGAATAGGGATTCAATAAGTTAGAAAATGAAATTGCATTTTATCACACAGTAAATTAAATATTGACATACATATAAAAATATGTATGTGATAGTCAGACATTAGCCATGGAAATAAATTACTTAAACTTTGAATACAGCCCGATGATATCATTGATTAGTGCCAAATTAAAGAATTTGCATAAAATTTAAATTAAATGCTTACACAATCAGTTGAAGGCGCGCACAGGGTGCACTTTCGCTAATATAAGTTATTTTTGCCCAACCGCTTCCTGCTTTGCACCACAAACTCCTTTCCGGCCTAACCGCAAATATCTCAACTTTTTTGGGGCCGCATTTCATCCTGCTATTCCACCTTTAAAAACAAGGTAATGCCTAATTTTGTGCTGAAAACTATTGTGCACTGCTTAAAGGCATACTCCTCTTGAATAAAGACGTCGGTTTTGCACCGTCTGATCAGCACGTATAATATATAACTTGAATAACTACATACATTGATAGGAATGGTGTAACGTCAAATCGGATTAGGAAAACATGTTATAAAAATTCACACATGCAATAGTTTCTGAAACAAATATGCATTTGTCATGCGACTAAGAGGATGGCTAGACGCTAACGACTGCAGCAAACCATCATACCCTGCTATTGTCAGAATACTGTGGAATTGGGAAAGTCGCAGTTGCGGCGTTCTTGAAATTTGTCGAAATACCATAATGATGGGAATGTTATTTTCGAAACAAACTATTTGTGGTAAGACCTCGATAGCCTAAGTCGGACAAAGAATATTTGTGCGAAAAATTACTTTATCCTAATACGCCGACAGAGGTGAGACAGCAGTTCTAAGGCGGGGACTGGGAGGCGATGACTTATAGCCCTGTCTTGAAAGTAACATGGTAGTAATCTAAAACTGTGCTGGCTGACCGCCTGGCTGGCTGGTGCAGCCTTAAAAAGCGCTCAGCACGGTGACACTCAAGTGAAAGTGTAATAATATTGTGTGAAATCCTGAAAACGTCTCTGAACCGCGTGCAACGTGTGTATTATTTGAATGAATATAATGGCACAATAACTTCGCTTTTACATATCACAAAATATGTGCTTGTACTCGTATTACGCGTCATTATCAAGTTTGATAAGACTGCTCATTCTCAAAATTAAAAGACAATTGGTTTTGCCGGTGGCAATTTGTGCTGCTGATCTCTAGCTGGTTTATTCACATGGGTACAATGTGCGCCCACCACGGAACACACAACAAATGACCTGATCATGTCACATCGCAGCTATTATACTACAGCTAGCTTCATTGATCTACCCAATCCACAGGTCATTGTGTCGTTTTAATATGATCGATATGTAATGTGTGTCAACGTATTATAGCAAGTTTTATCCGCTCTCTCTCTGGAATATCTAGAATCGGTTCATCACAATACCGTGCTTTGTAAGTGTTGGACGGTGATATTTGTGTGGCGACCTGACGCTCCCGCTTTCCTTTTCTTTTTGAGAGCGTTTATCTGTTGTATGTGCTGTTTACCTGTTGTCGACTAGATGGTAGTGTTGCAGGGTTGTTGCAAGGATCAATTTGCAGTGCGACACCGGATCAAGATCCGATATTTCAACATGATTTGTGATCGCACGACAGCCTGGTCTCTCGGACACGCAAAACAATCTTCAAGTGATATATATTTATGATATAGGAATATTAAGATTTTAATATGTTAGCACATCAGTTTACTGTAGCATACCGTTATATTTGCAGTTCGGTCTTAGTGTGCTACATTTTGTTGTTTGCGATGTATATCTAGACGACTTTTTTTAGATTTCGGAGACTATTTTTGCTTGTCTGATATTCGTTATCAGTTGCGAGGGGGCTTTTTTGTTATTTTAATCAGTTTTTATGGGCTCTGGCACTCATTCTGGCATTTTGGGTGAAGGATTCGATTTAACGTAATGTACTTAATGTACTTTACGTAATGTACGTAGGTTGTAGAAATGACTCGGCATACTGATATGGTTGAAACGAGATCATGGCGTGCACATTTATTGTTTCTCCTTAATTCACCCTTTTATACCCGTCAATAATGGTTTGTTACAGTAGTTTCGAAAATAGATATTTGATATTTGAAGAGAAACGTCTCCTTTGGACGCGAAGAGGATTAGGAATCTTCGAACTATATTAAATGTGCTCCTTTTTAAACATCATGGACGATTAAATCCACAACTTTAATTATCTCATAGTAAATAAAAATATTACTGATGGTGATTTAGGAAAGGTATCAATGCCGACATGGCCCACCATGGCTCCTAAAATTAGACAACTCCAAGAGATATGGACGTTACGGACGCTATGTCTCCAACTTTTTCTCCGGATGGGTAAGAGGATTGTGTTTAAGTTGGTTGGTTCTCAATATGCTTCAATATACTTAAAACCACGGCCACCGTATCTCATCAATAAATGAAATTGTACGCACAGGCTCTCGATACTTCAATACTTACAACCACGTACTTACAACCTTACAATATCTCGTAAATGGACAAATTTACGCTGAATGTAACTTATGACTCGATGATCGAATTTGACGCTAATCTCCCAACGGATTATTACCTATCATGACTTCTCTCCGTCCATTGTATAAGAATAAAAACAGACAATAGAACATGTACGAATTATGGATTCGAGAAACAATGAAGTTAAAGCTATTGCATCTGTTCGTCGAAATTCTGTCTATTTTGTTTAATCAGATTAATATACCATCCACTAGATTGTATCCTCGTGATATTCCTCTAGCCACTTTGGTCTAGACAGCCTGTTTAAGTCAAAGTTTTACAGTTATTACTCTCTCTTTAAAGAATTGCAACAAAGCGGCAGGATAATCATTACTTAAGTAGTGTAAGAGCCTTTATAGTACCCGAAAAAACTTAGCACATATTTATATATCTCTTACTTGCGATCGCCTCGTAATGACGATAAATGTTTTGATGTTACTGATAGTTAAAGAAAAGTAATACAAAAGCTTTTATGCCAAGAGTGTGAAAACAACTTCAAAGATAGGTAACTCGAAACATGTCAAGATTAATAGCTCATGAATCTCTTTTTCCGGGCTTAACTTAACACCTCTGTTGATAATCTTACAAATTCCTCTAGTAAGAAATATTCTTAGGTTTACAATTTCTGTAAATAAAACAAACTTAGTGCCTGGCCCACATATCTATTTTGTATCCGTGTGTACTAATTTTCTGCCGTGTTTGACCATTTACTTGAACAACATAATTCGGTAACTGCAAATAATAATGTGTTTCTAGCGTACAGTCATGTCGGTTCTGTTTTCTGTGCGTTCAATTTACCTTGCACACACTCCTTATAATGAATGCGCCCAATATTTTAATGAAAAATGTTAGTAAGATAAAACGTTCAATAATCCAGTAATTCAGTATACACTATACAGTAACATTTCAGGTCGCTAAAAATACTTATTAATTGCCTGACCGAACTTATTTGATGTTATTAGAGGTTTTTTTTCTGACAAGTTTTCGTTTATTATTGACCAGGTAGATTTTTGTAGACATATTTAGTAATATTTTATGACCACTGACACGATGAGTTAATGCAAACTAAGTATGATCTGATTATCAAATAATTTTATCGAATAAACTAAAAACCTTAAAATTTCTGTTCGCACCAAACCTATTTGCCGAAATTCTGAAGGAAGCACAAAAGTAGTCCAACTTATAACCCCTCCCCATAACCCCTCCCCGTAACCCCTCCCCATCCCCTGTCCTACCCAACAATGACCCTCTTCATGTAAATGTCTAATGTCTCACACAATATTGACTTTATATATTTGTAACAGCTCTTGTTTTCAGACAACATGGTAACAGTATGAGCAGCAATAGACCCGGATCCTCAGGAGCCCGTACCAAGCTGGTAAAGGAGATCACCAACCTTGCTAAGGATAGGATATCCCCGCCTCCTTCACCTGCTCTGCGCGATGGCGATATTCCTGAGGAGGTTTGTAACTTTTGTATACGTAATCGTTTAACTTAATATTGGTCTCTTTTTTCCATTCATGAGGACGACGCATGCCAAACTTCAGAAGAAACAGGTTTCTTACTTCCATTGACAGCTTGCATTTCTACGGAATCAACTATATCTATCACTGCTATATTTATAGATCTCAACTTTTCTTCTTGTGACAAACCCTTTTATCACCTTATATTCACTGTCGACTGTTTAAAAACAATGAGCATATTAAGAGACAGTAAAACTAGCGGGCTGCGATGAATGGGGACTTGCCACCCCATGGCAACATAAAATATTTTGGCTCTGTTACAGACATAAAAGGAATTTAGATCTGGCAACACTACACCTGACAAATGAAAAATAATCATAAAGTATTATATAACTAAACACTTGCAAATGTAAAATAAAATGTAAAATAGAATATATTTCTATTATATTATGCAATACCAGCTGAAAACTTAAATACGACAACTATGTGCGTGTTTTAAACGTTACAGTAGCTAAAAAAATTTAAGTATTTGTAAAGTTCATAACTCTCGCCGTACTACTAGTACGGTATTACGAAATCCTACAAAATCCGAAAATGGGGTAATAATAAAAACATGTGAATCCAACTAAAATTACCATGTGTGCACAGAAATAGGATAACAATTTAACATCATGAATTAAGTCAGTAACAACTAGATTCCCCCGTACGAATACCCCGTACCGAATTTTCCAACATTATTTGTCAACGTAATGCTGCCTAACACACAACCTCCACCAACGGTACCGGCTCACTTTCACGTAACGTTTATGCTTCATACTCGGTATAAAACGCAACTATATTAATTGCTGCAAATTGAAAACAATTGTGCAAATTAAGTCACGTGACGGTGGTAAGTTGGTTTATGGCATCTGAAATAGCGTAGAATGTGACGTAGTGGTGACATTTGCCGAACAGTCAGCTACCTACCAAGCTCTGCCTCACTGCCGACAGCCTGAATTTGTATCTGCGGGCAAAAATTTCCTTCGCTAAATCGGGAACTAAAGTTGAGCAGTCCAATTAGCTGGCAGTGCACCTCGATGGCTTCGTTTAATTTAGGGTTTACTGTTGATGGCACCAAATACCGGACTCTTTAACCAAATGTAATACTCTGTCCATTAACCGATAATTGGAGCTCAACCGTCCGCCTGTATCAATACTGATCACGTGTCTAAACAGGCTTTCGAAGGACTTTGCCCGACTGTCAGTAGTGTGGGACGGTTGTCTGCATTTTCCCGTTCACAGACCCGTTTTAAGTCTCTGTACTCGCGCTTCACCCGTGCTCCAAGTGGTTCAGGTTGAGAGCTGTCATCACCAAAGCAGGGTGGCAAACGACAACTCATGCCCGTTCAATAGCCTGCCGTATATTATTAGGATTTTAACTTAAAATATTACCTATGAACTTGAAGGTTGGACGTTAGTTATTGTGTTTTATATCGTTGGCGATATGTCGTGTGTGTGACATGCTGCTCTATTTGGGTGCATTTTTTATCATTTTCCGGCCCTGGACCTGCCCTGACGAATAAAGCGAACTTACGTTTAACTGAACAATAAATACATTAACTTGACTGGAGTGAGATAATAATCTCATTAAACACGCTATCTGCTCATCGGTTGGCGAATTTATCTTTTACGGCGACCCGATCCAGCCTGCTTTCTTTGCTCCAAGCTATATCATTACTTCAATGTCTGCCCCTTTAGGTCACAATTTTATATCAGTCGTCATCGACAGTTTGACTGTAATGGTTCTAGTTTTTTGCCGTATCGACCACACACTGCCCCAAATACCCCATTAATAACATTAATACCGGGTCGAGGTTAATCCAATTACTGCTCTGTCCTCATATGCTTCAAACATCTCTTCATATATCGCCAGATTTTCCACTTTTTTATTGTTTTTTTGCGTTTAAGAATGTGAAAACAAATATATTTGTTTCGATACACACACCGACAACTTTTTTGATGGTTGTTGCAAACTACAAAGCTGCCAATTAGCAATAATTAACAGTTTCTGACTTATGTAACTGTGTTTGTTGCGTTTTAACGTGAAACTATGCTTCAGAGAGACTACGATAGAGACGAGAGGTGAGTGTGTCTGATTTCTATATCTTTCATCGGGCCTCCAAACCTTTTGTTTTTGGCACCCATACAATGCCGTTCCATTGAGTATCGCACGAAAATAAAATTCTAAATTTACTGGAAGTTTGACCGCACAGTCACGAATGTCAAGGTGTCTATATGGTTTCGCCGCAAACACCTCATTTAGCTTTATCCCATCGGCTTCCTGAGCCTTGTTACATGGATATGCAGTTTATTGAATCAAACTAATATTACTTCTGTGATGCCGGAATTAGGGGTAAACAGTAGTCTTACTGCGTAAAACATATCTCGCTTCGTTGCAATTTGTTTTGTCGGTAAGCCGAACTCCTAAATTTATATACGGTTAACAAGCTTTGACGGGCTTATAAAGTTTGTCTGTAGTTGGACTAGGTTTGCAAAGTTGTTGTAGGAAACTTTTGAGCTTGTGTTTAACCTGGGATGATGCCTTACAGTGGTGACGGCGGAGGATCTCAAACAGGAGACGACCACTCTTCGCCCCCTCGAACTATGAGATTGTACGACGATATGCCGTGTTGCGGCGTATTTGGGGACCACAACGACACGGTATGTGTTGTAGTTAAACTGTATTGTGTTTAAATGTTTGTATTGTTGTTTTGGTGGAGTTGGTGGAATATTTTTATGATCGATGATTGCGTGTGCGTCGGCGACCGTTTCTAAAATATCTGAGTTTAAACCGCGCTGTCGGCGTTTTTACCCAATGGCAAAGCAGCTACAAACGTGCAAAATCTATGTTTGATGTTAAATCCTCGCGCGAAAAGTTTCAATATCCGTCTTGGATATATCCTTATCCGGTAGCTGTTTAGGGCGTTTATAATATCTATAACACTAGCATTACGTCTAAGTTAGGCGCTTGTTTTACGAATTAGTCAAAGGTTTGGCCGCTTTTAAAGCTATAACTCCTCCTCCTCAGCAGTTGACACATGCCTCATTATGTGTACTTACCCGATAATGCTCGCATTGTCGTTTTTCTACTGTATATTTGCTTTCGCTGAATATTTTTGATCGCTTTTGTGGCTTTTTAGCCCGGACGATCAAGTGTATGTATGTGATCACTAACTGTTTTGGTTTGTGTTCTGCTTAGTGCTTACCCAGGTCACGTATTGAACTTTCGAGACAAATCTTGGTGTCTTTTCTTTCGTCATCGTTCAATAAAAAGCCTGGGTGAAACACAGTGTGAATTTTTGTGGAAACCTCTGATAGCTTTGTAACATAGCGGAATCCTCTTTGCCTGAAAAACACGCTCCTTGCAACAGGGCTGCTCAGCTTATCCGGATATTTCAATTATTGTGTCGATCACAATATCATAATGAAATATTACCAGATTGCCTATTAAATCGGAATTAAATCTTTTATTCCTCTCTAACACAATCATTGACAAATCACAATAGCTACGCTAGCTCCTAATTCTGATAAAGATTACTCCTGATTAGTGTGCCTTCTGCAGAATGCATCTCGTTACTTTCATATTTGATCGATTTATATTTTATGTTTACGAGAGTTTATAAAAATTATATAATCAAGCAAATGCTTCAGAAATCCTAACGTTTACGTCCAAAAATGTAAACGAGATGAGTAATTTTTGATACATTCTTTAAATAACCATGCTCCTTTAATCCTTTGTTAACAATAATAGCTGAACGCGATTGAGACATCATAACAAGGATTTGATGGATTATGATGAAGCACGCTCGTATAAAAACGACTTTTTCCGTGTTCAGCTAGAACTCGTTTACAATCAAATTAGGTCCTGATTATAGCGCACACATTTGGAACTAAGGTTAACGATAGACAGTAATCTAGTATTTATAGCATCAAACAGGTATAAGGGCTTCATATTGAAGTAGCAACTGTTAGTGTCAACGGCTGTCGGAACCAGATGAAAGAAGTTTCCATGACGACCCCTCTAATTCACTCATTTAGTCCATGTTGAACTGTGTAAATAATTCTACTTTCACAACAGTCACTTTCTCTTTTGCTGTGCAACCTGGTGTCTTTTAAAGTTATTCATCAAAGGCAGAAGTGCATTTTTAATTTACGTTACAGTCACAATATTTTGACTTGGAATATCTTATTTTCATCGCCCCGCTAGAAAGAAAATCAGATATTATCATCTTGAGGCTCGTGGCGTGGGCTTCTCCCTTCCGTTCAATAATTTTCCTCTGTGCAGTGTGCACAGTTATCGTACTCTATTTTCCTTGTTCATGTTATACTTCCTGGTCTGATTTTGGGAGGCGTGACTTTGTATCTACATCAAGTTCAACGAAACTCAATTTATAATTGTGGACAATTAGCCTGTATCATATAGAATCCTACCTAAAGATCTAATAACATGCATTCACCACAACACCAAGATGCATAGTTTTCTATTTTTATCCGACAATCATTGTTCAATTACCTAAAAATTCAATTTTCTTGTCCACATAAGCCAATTTTTCTAGCCTGGGTATTATTCTACTGGAAACTTGATTCTAAAACTTCCCCTACTCACTCAAAACATTGTGTAATAAAAGATAAGAATAACTTCTACCTTATTTGGGACTTCCATTAATTTACAACATTGTATCCAACACTGCACCATTAGGTTTATTAATTTAATTAGGAAGCTGGTTAACAATCGATAAATGCGTAATCCACGTGGTAATGAATCAGGCGCCAATTGAAATTGAATCACCTACTTACGTTACTTTTGATAAGTCGATGAGTACTGTTAAAATGCAGAGTTCAAGTCTAGTGTATATATTTTAGGAAGTGTAAAAACTAAAACAGGGTTCTGGTCATAGCAGTTAATAAGTAATTAAATGCCCATGATCGCTGGTAGCCTTCAGCCATGTCAGTAATCCGGTTTCAAAGCTTCAAATCCAAATTTGTGGGCCACTAGTTTGCAGATCCAGTTTCATCGTAATTGTCTTAATCTCGCAATTACCACCTGTCTTTATCATCGCTTCTAAGTTCTACTTGCATTGGCTTTCTAGCCGAAATTGATATTCATGCTTCTTGACCACTCGTGAATTGAATTTATTTGTCGGAAAGTTCAGTTATAATCTTGTTGCAATTACACTCTGGTTGATCGGGATATATGTGCCGGATTCGTTTATTTTCTGATCGTAATTTTCAATCTTGTTTCACCCTCGTACTTCTTTCATCTTTGGCCTTTGCTTGGCAGATTTATCAGCTACATTCCAAAATGTCTCTCGATCTTCCAAAGTAAGTGCAAAATTCGAATATAAGATTTAAAAGAAGAGGTTGAATTGGCTGATGGTTGACTCCAAAGAATTGGGTTGTGAAAATTGCCACGTCAGTAAATGAGGTCATGGCATTCGCAAAACGCCGATGTTTAAAATTTTAAAGGGTCTTAAAAATGCGCCACCGCGTTCATATCCAAAATTTCGATCACGACGTCGCGCACGTTTATCCCCACGTACTAAAGTTTACAAAGCATCACAGTGCTGTGATGTTTTCGCGAAACAAACACAGAGACGAGACAAGTGTCCTTGCAGAATCTAGTCTAGATTTTGGGCATTACTGTAGGTTTTTTGGAGTTTAGAGTAGGTTTTCTGGTTTCCATATTCGGGGTTTGCTTGCGGAGTAACAGCTGAGAGGTGAGATGAGAGCTAACCTGGTAAATAGACAACTTAATCGCTGATGTGTCGGATGTTTTAACAAACAAAGGAAATAATGAAAGTACATTGTAAGTTAAACTGACTTTTAAATTATTGGACCTTTGATATATTTGTTAGATCCTATTCCAAAGTTAGACACTAAGAAGGTTATAGCCAGATCCACGTGGAGGCAGACGGCAGGTTTTAGATATTTACCAAAATAAAGGTTGTTAAAACTTACTGCACCGTTGGGCTTACATAAAGCCGAGGGCACTTCCGTCTTATCAACAGTGGGTAATGTGCTTTCTGCTTGTCTCCAGTCGCATATTTCAAAGCCTTGCATATCAAATTTTTTGACCATTATTATACATTAGACTGTAAAAATTAGTGGTAACAACATTAGCATATTTAGCTGTATTCGACTCTAAATCTCGTTGACACTAAGCTGTGAGTTTTGTACTTTATATGATCCTGTTTAACTCACTAAATCATCCGTATTTGACATGTTTTCCTTGCTCAGTAAAACCCTTATAGAATGTTTGATGATAGCAGTCTGATGGTATATGTTCGGGCCCTGTCACTCTCCTGAAAGTAGAACATTAGAATATCAGTCCCGCCTAATACTAGTCCCCTCCTGATATATCTTATACTTGACATTTGAGCACGCAGCATCTGTCCTGTACACACGTGCACATCTCACCAATATAAGAGATAGATAACATTCGTTTAAACTGCGGTCAAATCTTCCGTTGTGGCCGATCTTTGCCATGCTGCTTAGAATTACTTTCAAAGGGCGCGCTATCTCCTGTGCTGCTCCACCACCGTCAGAGACGTAAACAATCAGGTTGTTTGCTGTGTCAGAGAGCATAGAGAATTGTGTGAAAATGCCATAATATTCGAACACACATAATGCTTGTAATGATCTATCTTTGTTTAAAATTCCGGCTTTGTCAGCTGTTTGAACGTAGAGACTTCTAACTCTGTACGGGATAATCATCTTTCTTTGCACGCAACTTCATCTCCAGTGTAAATCGGGCCGATCGCCTCGTACCGCGTATGCCGCCGCACGCTGGTCGCTGGCAAGTACAAAGTACAAAACTGCCCTCTCCTTCCGTAGATTGCTTACCACAATAGCTCTACTTCATAGGCTCTTTCCATATTCTAATGGATTCGTGTAATTTGAATTGTGGTTTCACTTAGATCTTGTGGAATAGCATGAACCGCTACACTTGTTCAAGATTCATCATCTTCTGTCCTTTGTTCTCTTACTGTCTACTTGAGATTCAGGAGTACAGTCTGCTTTGTTAAGAGCAGACGGTACCAGACTGTAAGCAGATATAGGTGGACATTCTTCTGGGACATTCTTACGGGACATACTTATTTAGCACGTGTTTTATAACTTATTTCGACCTGTGCAGTACCTCATGATATTTAATATGTGATTCAGAGTAATTGTCCAACAGATAATCTGACATAACATTTACAATAATGTAATTTAAATTATAATTTGATATCTTGATATTTCAATATCAATAGCAAATTGGCCAATTAAAAAGTTGTGTTCACTGGAATTAATGAAGGGAGTAGGTTGAGTGATTTAAGTTTTATGTTAAAGGTGTGACTGGTATGGTTAAAAAACGTGTTTTGATGTCCCACAAGTCCTAGATTCAACTCTGATTCGTTCCTTCTCCCTCTCGGTACTCGGAGCTCTGCTCGTTTTATTTGAACTTGATATTTCTTCGTCGGTTAATTAATAGCTGATTCAGCCATGTGGGTGTTAATAAAGTGAAATGTTAAAATTCTATAGAATTGTTTGCAACAACTTCTCCGGTATATTGCCACGTGAAATTAGACGTGTGTCCATGCAAGTTGTTTATCCAATGTTGGTTTAACTCACAAAGTTCTCATAGTTCCAACGTTCCTTGCATGAATGTTGGTTTCCAG